TTTTTTTTTATAGTCTTTTCTCTTCTTTCTATTTTTTTAAAAAATAATATAGATATAGTTTTCATATTTTAATTTAAATCAAACTTAATCTAAATATATACTTTATATTTCAATTTAAATTATATCTTGTAAACACAGTAAAAAGTTAGTGAGGTGCCGCTACACATAGATTACTGATTCAATAGATTTTACGGAATATGAAACTTTAAATATTTAATATATTTCATTTCTTTTATGAATTCCTTTTAATATTGTCCTACTATTTTGTTGTTTTTTCTTAAGAGCGGAATATGTAATTTTAAATATTTAATATTATATTTTTTAAAATATATATATTTTTAATATTGTTCTAATATCTTTGCTACTTTTGCCTTGGAATGTCACTTTTTGAATATGTTTTTTTTACATATTTGAAATGTATTTTAAAAATACATTAAAAAGATAAATATTAATATGATTTAATATTTGTGTGAATTAAAATTTTAGAAACAAATTGTAAACAATTAAAATATCTATAAAACTAATAAATAATTAACATAATAATACAATTTGAATTATTTTTTGGGTGTTTTTTTTAAGAACACACACAAAAAAGAAGCAAATGAATCTTTACTTGAATATAAAATTTTTATCATTACAATAGTATCACACCAAAGGCTTTCTTGGAGGATTGATATCTTAAACCTCTTGTCAATATGACCATTGAACATCTACATGTAACACAAAGAAATTCAAGCATTTAATGATTTTACAATGTACATATAGTAATTACATCTTATTTAAATAAAAATAGAGTTTACATCTATTATATTCCTATCCAAAACATGTGTTACAATAATTTTTTTACATCTCTTAGTTAATTTTTTAACCTCTATAAGATAAACAAGAATCTTAGAAAAATTCAACAAATTATCAAGAACATTTCATGAAAAACTATCTAATTAAATAAAACTATATCTGTTAAATTTTACATTAAATTTAGTATAAATTTTGTTTTTGAGAAGTATTCAACTCCTAAATGAACACATACCTCTAGCCATTATAATTTCTCATTTATCTTGTACTAAGGTTGAAAATCTTTATAAAATAAGAGATATAATTTAATACACTGAACAAATTTGTTAAATTGTAAGAAAATAATGTAAAACAAACTTCTGGCAATTACTTTGAAGTAATTTTGGTGTTGCTTTTCTACTTCAAGGATATTACAAACATTAAAATCTCACCTTTTGAATTTGACAACAATAACACGAAAAAAATATAGAGATTAGCACCTGAATTCAAGAACTTTTTTTAAAAAAATTAAGCACTACACTACAGATTTATAAATATAAAAAGGAGAAATACAAAAGAAAGTTGAGAGGAGTATAAAAGAAAGTTGCGAGGAAGATTTGTAATAAGGAATTTTTTTTATCAATAGTGTATATATAACACGTTTGAATTTTGTAACCGTTTTCTTTTCGTTGAAAAATATAATTTTCTAAAAAAAAAAATTATGGGTTATCGAGAGAACAATTAGCAATACTTTTTCAGTTTATTTTTCAAAATGTTTGCAATATTAATTTTTATTTTTATAAATTTAAATTCATTTTAACAATTTATAAATTATGTATTTTCTTTCAAAGGACGTGGGTTGGTTTTTTTTTTTTTAGTTTTGGTTTTTTGGATTGTAAGTTTTTTCCTTTCTGTTTGGGGTATTTATATTTTAATTTTTGAAAAAAAAAAACAGTTCTTAAAAACGTTTAAGACTTTAAATAATTATATAGAAGACTTTAAAAATATCAGATTATTATTATTATTATTAAATTATTTTTGTTATTATATTATTATTACTATTATATTATTATTATCATCATCATCATCATCATCATCGTCATCATCATCGTCATCATCATCATTATTATTATTATTATTATTATTATTTGTTTTTCTATAAAAAAGGAAGAGTTGTGGAAAGATAGTTAATATATTTCAGATTAAAAATATAATAACTTCCCACAATAAAAGGAATCACCGCGTAGTTAACTACTATTATATATTATTATTATTATTATTATTATTTATTTTGCTATAAATAAGGAAGAGTTGTGGAAAGATAGTTAAAATATTTCAGATTAAAAATATAATAACTTCCCACAATAAAAGGAATCACACACTTAGTTAACTACTATTAAAATTTGAATTTTGAAAAACGGTTAAAAGTTAAAAGTAATAGTAAATATAAGATTGACAATACTTTTTAATTTATTTTTTAATGTTTGCAGTTTTTATTTTTATTTTTAGAATTTAAATTAATTTTAACAATTTATAAAAAGAAATTGTGGTGCAGACAAGTAGGCATTTCTGCCTCTCCTATTATATATAGATAGATTATTATTATTATTATTATTATTATTACTATTATTATTATTATTTGTTTTGCTATAAATAAGGAAGAGTTCTGGAAAGATACTTAGTTAACTACTATTAAAATTTGAATTTTGAAAAACGGTAAAAAGTTAAAAGTAATAGTAAAAATAAGATTGACAATACTTTCTTTTTTTTAATGTTTGCAGTTTTTATTTTTATTTTTAGAATTAAAAGTAATTTTAACAATTTATAAATTCTTTTTTGTGGTGCTGACACGTAGGCGTTTCCACCTCTCCTATTATAAATAGATAGATCATTATTATTATTATTTTTTAATTATTTTTTTTTGCTTTGCTATAAATAAGGAAAAGTTGTGTAAAGATATTTAATATATTTCAGATTAAAAATATAATAACTTCCCACAATAAAAGGAATCACACACGTAGTTAACTACTATTAAAATTTGAATTTTGAAAAATGGTAAAAAGTTAAAAGTAATAGTAAAAATAAAATTGAAAATACCTTCTTTTTTTTTTTTGAATGTTTGCAGTTTTTTTTTTTAGAATTTAAATTAATTTTAACAATTTATAAATTCTTTTTTTTTTTTGGGGTGTAGCCACCTCTCCTATTATATATAGATAGAAGATTATATTATTATTATTATTATTATTATTATTATTATTTATTTTGCTATAAATAAGGAAGAGTTGTGGAAAGATAGGTAAAATATTTCAGATTAAAAATATAATAACTTCCCATAATAAAAGGAATCACACACTTAGTTAACTAGTATTAAAATTTGAATTTTGAAAAACTGTAAAAAGCTAAAAGTAATAGTAAAAAAAAGATTGATAATACTTTTTAATTTATTTTTTAATGTTTGCAGTTTTTTATTTTTATTTTTAGAATGTAAATTAGTTTTAACAATTTATAAAAAAAAATTATGGTGCTGACACGTAGGCGTTTCCACCTCTCCTATTATATATAGATAGATTATTATTATTATTATTGCTATAAATAAGGAAGAGTTGTGGAAAAATATTAAAATATTTCAGATTAAAAATATAATAACTTCCCACAATAAAAGGAATCACACACTTAATTTTTTTTTTATTCGAATTTTCTTGGTTCAAAAGACCCATTTTGTTGATTGAAAAGTCTTAAACAACAAAAAACAAAAACAGAATGGCTCAAAGCCCAAATACAGCCTCCACATTTCCTAATGTAGACTTATAACTATCAGGTGAATCCTCAATAATTGACCCTCTCCCCATTGAAATTGCTGCGTTGTCAAGAAACTCCCAAAATCCGTGTTATATTTTGATCAAGGTCATGCTGCAATGGTGGTTCTTGTGACATGGTAGCTCTCTTTCCCTTCTATTTTGCATTTTTGGTCTTGTTTTGCCCTCTGAATCTTATCCCTGTTGTGTAGGTGAGCTTCCTCCCCATCTATTCAGCTCTTTTTGTGCGGATCCAAGGTGATGGCTCTCTCTCTCTTCTCATCTTGAGCTCCTGTAATATCGTCCGCAAGTGATACCTGTTTATTTGAAAAAAAATAAAAATTGGTAGTTGTGGTTAGATCTAGCTTCTTCTTGGCATACTTTTGTTAATTCATAGCTATGTACTCTCATTTCCTCATAAGGGATGGCTCTGTAATTATCTGATAACATGTCTTCTATGATTATATCTTTGCTGCTTTCAGTTCGGAATCGTGATTTTCCTCGTTTTGATCCTTAAGATTGGTACTTGGCTTTTGTCGCTGTTTAATTGTGCCTCATGTTGCTTGGTAGATCCACAAACTCTGTATAAATTTGTGTTTGTTGTGAATCCACCACCTCTTTTGCCAATAAATCTGTTAAGCTATTCGCTTCTCTGAAAGTATGTACAATGGTTGCATTGAGTTCTTGTATTCTTTTCCTTATAACCTCTCCCCTTTCCGCCAATTCCCATGGTATCTTCCACTCTCCTCTTATCATTCTCATAAGACTCATGGAGTCCGTTCCAAAAATGACCTCTCTTAACTTCCTCTCCCAACAAAATTCTACAGCTTTGTAAATTGCCCAAAGTTTCGCCTCTGTATTTGTGATTTCACCCATTCCAGCTGTTCTCGCGTATACCAAGTTTCCTTGCGAATCACGTAAGCAAAAAGCATAAGACCTTGGACCAGGGTTTCCTTTTGATGCCCCATCGGTATTGCACTTCAACTTCCCTATATCAGGTGGCTTCCATACCACTAAATGTGTATACAGCTTGGGTTTGTAGACCTTTAGCTTTCTAACTGTGTCACCCCACATTCTTGAATCACGGCGTATCCAAGGAAATAAAGTTTTCACCAGTTTCTTTACCAGCTCATGTACTTGCATCTCCATCTCCTCATATGTGGCTTTTCCTCCATGCTTAATGTTATTTCTTCCTTTCCATAGTATCCACATTATTATTGCCGACATTGGTCTAAGTACTCCTTGCAGTTGGGGTGAGGCTTTATATTTCCACCATGCAATGATCAATTTTTATAAATGCATCCCCTCCATGTGTAAACCTGCACAACCAGCAAAAAACCTCCAAAGCTTATTGGCAATGGAGGATGTTAAAAAAATGTGTGTCATTGTCTCCTCCTCTTTTTTATCGCAGCACCAACACCTTCAAACTAACTAAATTTTCATCCTTTTTAGATTATCATCCGTAGGAATCCTTCCTTTCCACATCCTCCATAGAAAGAAGTTTATCTTAAATGGTAGACCTTTAGTCCATATAAACCCAAAGTCGGCTCTACTCTCATGCTTCCTTCTTAGAATCTTCCATGCTGATTTCACCGTGAAATCTCCCTGAGTGTTGGCCATCCACCATGGCTGATCATGTTGACTGTTAGTGGAAGGGGGTTTCGTACTCTCTATAATATATTCTACCATTTCAGTTGACAAGATTGTGTTTAATTTCTGTTCATCCCATCTTCCTTCTATAGTGAATTCATGTACTTCTACCTCTTCCTCACTATTCTGTCCATTCTCGATATAGTACAATGCTCCCATTCTTGTCCAATTATCGAACCAAAAGCTTGAGGTCCCTGCCCTTATCTGCCACCAAATGTTATGCTCAACTTCTTCCCTTACCACTATCATTTTCCTCCACACATGTGAGGCACCCCATCCTATGGCAATAACTGGATGATGTTTTTTACAGTACTTGTTCCACATAAATGCACTCCACAAAGAGGAAGTTGATGTTCTAAAAATCCACCAAAACTTTGCAAATAAAGCCTTCGATACATCATGTAATGACCTGAAACTCAAGCCCCCTTTTTCCTTTGGATAACACATGCTTTTCCATGCTACCCAGTGCTTCTTCCTGGACCTCGTAGCATTTTCCCAGAAAATTTCACAAATAATTCACCAGTTGGGGGTTTCATCGCTGATAATAGATACATAGGCATAGACTGTAATACATGCGTAATTAAGACATACCTCCCCCCATATGATATAAGTCTGTTTTGCCAAAAAGCCATTCTTCTCGCCACCTTTTTCACCAAATTTTCAAAATGCACTTTCTTCTTCATTCCATAAAACATAGGGCATCCTAAATATATGAAGGGAAAATTACCTTGTCTGACCCCTGTAATCCTCTTTATTCGATTACCCACTGCTGCTGGAACTTTGTCATGTAGGTAACAATAATTTTTGTCTAAATTTATCATTTGACCTGAAATTGTTTCATACCTCCTTAGCACATTCATCATCTTCCTTATGGAATTTGGTTGTCCTGAGCAAAAAAGAATCATATCATCGGCATATGATAAATGATTAATTTGTGGACTCCATTTGGGTAACCCAAAACCTTTAAATTCTCCATCCTCAAATAATTTGTTCAAATTTCTGGCCAATACTTCAGCTGCAATAATAAATTGAGTCGGAGAAAGTAGATCTCCTTGTTTTAGACCTCTTGAAGATTGGAAGAAGCCAAAAGTCTGCCCATTCAGTAGTACGGAATACCAGTTATTACTGATAACCCTTACAATCATATCGATTATTCTTTCTGAAAAACCAAACTTCCTGATAACATTTACAAGGTACTTCCACGATACTCTATCATATGCCTTTGCCATAGCTAGCTTAACCACCACATTATGCAACTTGTTCCTTTTATTAATATCCCTTATGATCTCCTAAGCTAATAGAACATTTTCTGTTATGCTCATGCCTTTGACAAACCCTGTTTGGTTCACTGATATTATTCTAGGTAGAACTGTGGACAACCTCTCGTGGATTAGGCGTGAGATTATCTTGTTTGCAAAGGTGCTCAGACTAATAGGTCTTAAGTCACCAAAATTGTCAACCACGTCCTTCTTTGGTATTAACACAAGATTTGTATGTGTTATGTATCTTGGAAGCTCTTATCCACTAAAAAAGGCCCTTACCATATTCCATACATCCTTGCCAATTATCTCCCAACAACTCTGAAAGAATTTTCCTGAATATCCGTCTTGCCCACTTGCACTGTCCCCATTTAGCTCAAAAACAACATGCTTCACCTCTTCTTTTGTAGGAACCCTATTCATTTCTTGATTTTTCTCTTCTGTTATTATCCTAGGAATACACTGGATCATTATGTAATCAGTAGCTTCATGAGTCTCCTTAAATTGCTCCCTGAATACATTTATTGCTTCCTCTCCAATGTTTTGTGCACTATTGATAATATCCCCCTGTCCAGTTTTGATCTCCTTAATATTCAGTTACCTCTTTCTTCCTTTCACATAAGCGTGAAAGAATTTTGTATTACTATCCCCCTCTTTAAACCACTTCATCCCCACCTTATGTTTCCAGAAATCTTCTTTAATTTTCCTATATCTTTTTAGTTCAGCATTTGCCTTACTCATTTCAGCTCTATTTGCTTCCGTAGGGGCCATCTCTAATTGTATATCTTTTTCTTTTATCACATCTTCCGGTGTATCAAATTTTTGGAAAATATTTCCAATAGTACCTTTGCTCCATTGTGTCAAGACCACCTTTAGCCTCTTCATTTTCATATGAAGGAAGCTTGTGTCGTCCAACTATCCTCCACAATCTTTTTAAAATTTGAATGTTTGGTCCAAAAATTCAAGAACTTAAAAGGTTTGACAATTGTATCTTGATTTGAGTTACACAAAACATGCAATGGAGCATGATTCGAACCATGCCTTATTAAATGATGAACCTCACTTTCCGGCAATAAAGTCATAAAGCTATCATTGCCAAACACTCTGTCTAGTCTCTTAAAAATTCATGACTCCTCAATTCTCCCATTCCACCATGTAAAAATACTACCCCTAAACTTCAGATCATTCAATGCACAAGCATTAATGCATTGAGTGAAATCTTGTGTTTCCACCTGCGTCACTGGTAACCCACCTAGTTTCTCTGATTCATTCACTATGGTATTGAAATCTCCTCCCACTAACCATGGTGCAGTTTGACTTGCTATGAATTCCAGATCCTCCCAAAGTTCTAATCTCTCAATCACACTACACCTAGCATAGACTGTTGTGATAGCAAATCTAAATTGTGAGCCCTTTAATTTGAAGTTCATAGTAAGTTGTTATGTAGTATCTGTTGAACCTTCTTCTTCCCAATTCTCATCCCAAAATATCCAAATTTTCGCTGAACTACTAACTTTGGCATTTGGTAAACCCAACTTCCTTCTATAATACTCTAGTTCAGAGGGACTTTGAAAAGGTTCTAATAAAGCAATGTAGGAATAATGATGTCTTCTGTTCAGGTCGATTACTCTCTCAAAAGTATTTTGCGACCTAACCGACCTGATGTTCAAAAATAATACTTTGTCTATCATTGGTCTGTTAGGAAAGAAGACCCATTTCTACTCCTTGTGTGTATTTGTGAAGGCTGATTAATCTTGAACCCTCTTTTGTTATTTACCTTTAATCTCTCAATTTGAGTTGGTGATAAATCACCACTTCTACCAATGCTCTCAATGTTTGCTTCTATGCACTCCTCTTCCTCCTTATCTTGTTTCTGTTGCTTCTCTTGCTGCGTGGGGCTATTTATATTTGTTTGATCCCCATTGCTTTTCTCCCCTTCCGTCAACCCCATCACATCCTCCTTGTTGCGATTATAATGCTGCCTTGGAGAGCTTTTTGTACTATGGGACGATCCTATATCTTCATTAGAATCCCTTTGATCATCCTCCCGAAGACCCTCCACTGATTGATTCAGATTAATGCTTTGAAGTGTCTTTGATTCGCCACTACTAGCTTCTATCTGCCTTTCGTTCTGTGTTGAATTCAATCTCTTAATCCCTTCCATATCAACTATCTCTTTATTTATGTCAGCCTCCTCCCCGAACAACCCTTTTTCATTTGTTGATTTTGATGGCTCTTCCTGCTAACTGGCAGTCTGCTCACCATTTTTATTACCCCTACTGGCCAAGCTTATACACATTGGCCCACAGGGTGCCCCAATAGGGCCCGAATGAAAGACTCTCCTATCTCCTTCTCCCCACCTTCCTCCAGTGCCTCATACATGTTGGTTGTCACAATTTTCTGATCATTATTAGTAACTCGAGGGTTCCACACTTGTTCCTTTCTTCCTCCATTATCAAAATAATTACCCCTTCTGTATCCCTTCTTTCGCCTTTGTATATGAAAAACATTCAACTCCTGTTGTACCTCGTCTTCCTTTCCTATTGTAGTTCTCTCTGTTTCCGTATTGTTATTATTGTTCTTCCCATCTATCTCTTCCTCATCCTCCTTTGGATAGAGTTCTAGGTGAATGATAAAACATTCTTTTTCGTTATGTCCTTGTAACTTAAATGTATTACAATACTTGGGCATGTAGCCATATTTGATTGAAATCCACTTTTCCACTACTTCCCTTGTCCTCTTCCTCACTCCCACATTGATTCTGTTAGGGAAATCTCCCATCAAATCCACTTCCACCTTTACCCTAGCACAACTTGGCCTTGTTTTATTTAATGTCGCCATATCCACCTGCAAAGGCTTTCCAACGCTGAAGCTAAAGAAAAAATAGCTTCTTTGCCAAAAAAAATTGGGGGGGGGGGGGAGAGATGGGAAAGATATCCATGCTACCGCAATTGATGTTTCCTCTTCCGGATTAAACATTGGATCCCACTTAAGTGTTCTCATAGGATAAGACCAGTGGTTTTTAGTGATGTAGAATTGTGGCTTTGAAAGTAATGTGACATAATCTTCCAGCGGTGTGGTCCTTATTAGGACATATTTGTTGCTCAACAATCCAATGTTAACGTCGCCCTTTAGCTCGCATTGCTTTGGTATTAATCTTCTTAGGTCCTGTATATCCGGCCACTCGTATGAGAATTTTCCTATCACGGCAAATTGAAGATCCTCATTGATGATCATCTATTCTACCTCCTCCTCTTCCCATATTATCCTTGGTTCTCCATGAAGATATGCAACTTGCTTCATCGGAACCGGCATGTATTGTGAACTCTTTGCTTTCACTTTATCAGCATACGTGATTGTACATGGTAGTCCATTGGTGTTAGTGATTCTTTGTGTTATTGGTCCAACCTCCCCAGATGGAGGTTGGCCAACGGCCGCAGTGGCCATAAGTTCCGACGAGGGTAGGCAATGTGTAGGGTTTTAGAGTTTTTTGGTCCAGAAATGTTCCTATAGTAGCTAAATTGGTCAAAAATGTCCTTTTCCAAAATAAATATATAGTATTTCTTTTCTTTTTGAATCACACACTTAGTTAACTACTATTAAAATTTGAATTTTGAAAAACGGTAAAAAGTTAAAAGTAATAGTAAAAATAAGATTGACAATACTTTTTAATTTTTTTAATATTTGGAGTTTTTATTTTTATTTTTAGAATTTAAATTAATTTTAACAATTTATAAATTCTTTTTTTTGTGGTGCTGACACGTAGGAGTTTCCACCTCTCCTATTATATATAGATAGATTGTTACTCAACTTTCAACAGTTCACTGAGAAAGGTAGTAGTCAACTTTGTTTTATAACATAAAAGTCACTCAACTTGAGATAGTTCACTTAAAAAGTCATTCAACTTTGATATTACACTTAAAAAGTAACTTATTTGCATCCAAACAAAAAATACATACTTGCAATAATAAAAGGTTATAAAAATTCAAACTGAAGAAGTTACATGAGCTTTGTAATTTTGTTTGTTTATTCATAAATAAAAGGGCTTAACAGTCCACAAAAATTGCACCCAAAAAAAAAGTTACATGGAAAAAATAAAAACACACACATCTTCCTTGGAACCTAATCATAAGACAATAGATAAAAATAAGAATACAAAATCAATGGCCATTTTTTTGAGCTATTGTCTGACACCCTCTTTAACTAACTAATCAAACATTCAAGAGTCTTTTTCATCGTGTCAAGTTAAAGCATGAATTTGATAATATAATAATCCTAAAAAGAACAATAAAATATAAAGAATAATCTTGAGTTTAAATTTCATGAAACAAAAAACTTGTGAATTTATTTTGTCATTAAAAATGGACAGATATCATAAAGTATCTTAAATTTTATAATTTAATAGTTGGAGGTTATGAATATGAAAACTTAAAAGTCATAGAATTAATGATATTATCAAAAAATGACGTTTAATAGATTTACGTTATGGAGGTAAAACTTAAAAATTAAAAGAAAAATGAAAAAACACAAATGAAGTAGATAAAGAAATACATTTATATTATATAAAGATATAAATTTTTTGAATCGAATAAATAAAAAGAAAAGTAAAAAAAATCAAAGAAAGGAAAAAACTATAAAATAAATAAATAAAAATCATAAAATTTAAATATCGTGAATTGTTGGAATTTTTTTTAATCAAATGGAAAAATTTGTAATAATTGATGAGAATTTGAGAAATATTATAGAAAAATAGAATAATAGCTTTAATAATAAAATAAATTAAATATAGCTATTGATGAAAATATAAATAAATATGATTACTTTTAATGGTCTTTTATTTTTTAGGTGAATTTTTTGGTATGTAAAATTAGAAAAAAGGCCAAAAAAAGATTAATTGAATTGAAACTCTAAGAGAGGGTCATGCCATCGTTTTTATATTCAACTTTATTGTTATATATAGATTTGTAATA